TCCCTACGGTTGTGGGACGCTCGAAGAAGGTAGCATTTTTCGACATTAAGGAGCGGATACGAGACATGGTACGGAAATGGAAAGGGAGACTTATTCTATAGCAGGTCGGGATGTGTTAATTAATGTTGTGGCGTTAACGCAAGGGAATTTCGCCATGTCTGTCTTTAAACTCCCTGACTGTCTGATTAGAGAAATGAATAGTGTGGTGGCAAACTACTGGTGGGGGACTAATGGGGATAAAAATAGAATACATTGGAAGAACTGGCAATTTATGAGCCAGCCAAAGGAAGAGGGAGGAATGGGACTTCGTGAGCTTGAGGCCTTTAACGAGGCTATGTTGGCAAGTAATTCTGGTTGTTACTTCAGAACCCAGACTCCTTAATTGCAAGAATCTTAAAGGCCAAGTACTATCCGAATTGCTCCCTGATGGAGGCAGCAACTGGTTACCGCCCAAGTTATACTTGGCGGAGTATTTTGTCAGCTCAGGATGTGATTGTAAAAGGAGTAGATGGACTGATGGAGAGTGGGAGATGGTACCTCGATAAGAATTTTGGAGGATAGATGGGTACCAATTGTCAAGCAAGAAACCTGCACTAGGCCATCAAGGGACAATGGGATTTGAGATGGTGGCTGAGCTTATTGACCATGAAACCAATGCATGGCGGAATGATGTTTTGGAGCTGTTGTTCTCACCTGAAGAAAAAAATGCTATCCGAGCAATACCAATTCCCCGAACCCCGACAAGAGACTCGATTTGTTGGGAAGCAACTGCGAATGGCTGCTATAATGTCAAGACAGGATATAAAGTGGCAATTAAAGAACCCCCGGGTGAGCCTGAACTTGATGAGGTGGAGGAGGAGGCAGGGGAAGCAAATGAGGTGAACATGGAAGCCTTGTGGCAGAAAAACTGCCCTCTGATGGTACGTGTCTTTCTCTAGCAAATAATGCATAATATCCTTCCTACTAATGTTAACTTGGCAAAAAAGATGGAGGATAGAGTGGTTAAGGATTGTCCTTACTGTGGAATGGCGGAAACTATGCAACATAGATTTCTGGAATGTCAATGGTCCATTTGTATTTGGCAGAGGTCCCTTTGGTGTGACCGATATAATTATGCAGAAGAGGAACCAATGGAGAAGTGGCTAAATCGTGTCCTTACTACAGCAGACTCGGAGACAGCTGGAGGGATAAGCTCCTTAATGTGGCTGCTGTGGAATGAACAAAACAACTATTAGTTTAACGCAGAGAAGTTGGAAGAGGCAGTCATCACCCAAAAGGCACAATATTTCTTTATTGAATACAAGTTGGAACACGAGCAAGTGCAGGGGATGGGAACGAACAACACAAACCCGCCAATGGCAGCCACAAGGTATGAGATTATTGAAGGTTAATACTGATGCGGGTTGTTTGGGGGAAGCAGAAACAAGGATATGAATGATTGTTCGTGATTGGGAAGGGCATGTCTCCTTTGCTGTCGCCATACGAGAGAATGAAAGATGGCCTCCAGAAGTTATGGAAGGCAGGACAGTTCTGTTTGCTGTAGCGAAAATGAAGGAGTTTAGTTTGGGACCCTATGTTATTGAATCTGATTGTCAAATGTTGGTTACTAGATTGCAGAACCAAGCCATTGATTACACTGAGATGGCCAGTATTTGCCAGCAGATCTGGGAAGAGGCAGACCCGGCAGATTGTCGAGGATGGCATCACACATACCGTGAAGCGAACATGGTTGCTCACAATCTAGCTCACTTGTTTAGTGCTACTATTGATTGTAATAGTTGGATAGATATTCCTCCTCCCTTTCTTGAGGGAGTTTTGTTAAATGATAATTGTCATTTGACCCATTAATAAGATTATAGGAGGTGCGCTCCCTCCTTTCCCTAAAAAAAATCAAAACCAAAACTTTACTAAAACCAACTGTCGAAATACCAAAATTCAATCAGCAAGAAAGATAGAATCAAACAAGGTAATTAACTAAAGTACAACATATCAAAGAGGAAGAACCATATCCATATAATAAAAAATTAAAGTGCCTAATAACTTGAAAATGGCTCTGTTTATGCTGAAGTACTGGCCATGCTTTTAATATCACCGACGGGCGATGACCCTGTGGCAGACAGCTCTTTTCCGTCAATTCTTAATCAGTTTGCTCCTTTGTCTTTAATTCACAGCCACTTTCCCTCTTTATCACAAATTCAAAGCTCTAAGCATGGTGGTTGTACAACTCTATGTGCTATTTCCATATGCTCATTAAAGGGTAAATGCCACATTTGGTCACTGAGATTATTAAAGCATGTCATGTTTAGTCACTAGAAAAAATTAATATCAATTTTGGTCACTCGAATTACTGATTCATGTCACATTTAGTCACTCTCCCGTTAGGTTTTGTCCAACTCTGTTACTGATTCATGTCACATTTAGTCACTCCCCCGTTAGCCTCCGTCCAACTCCTAGAGTTGGACGGAGGCTAACGGGGGAGTGACTAAATGTAACATGTTTCAGTAATTCGAGTGACATTCATAAGAAAAAAGTAATTCGAGTGACCGGAGTTGGACGGAGGCTAACGGGAGAGTGACTAAATGTGATCTGTTTTAGTAATTCGAGTGATCAAAATTTATATTAATTTTTTCTAGTGACTAAACATAACACGATTTAGTAACCCGAGTGACCAAGTGTGACATTTAACCGCTCATTAAAATAGCACATTCCTTTTTTACTTTGCTTAAAGATGCCATCCATGTTATGAAACAAAATTTGTAGATGTATTCGATAATTTTGATTATTTTTAAGGGCTCGTATCTATCTCTTGTGATTGAGTTTTATGTTTTTATGTATGAGTGTTTTGATCATTTTGTACTGCAGAGGTTATTTTCGTTGCATTACCTTTAACAGAGCTGCACACCTAGTAGCAAAACAAACTCTTTCATCGGAAGTCCAGTTACATACAAACTATTATTGTCTATATTATAACTTTATTGTTCGACCATACTCTGTGACTTATCCTGAATAATAAGTCGAGAATTATAGTAAGTATTGGCATATCAGCAAACACTATGGATTGCTTGGTTAAAGGAATACAAATAGTGATGGCAATGGGGCGGGGCGGGGGCCCCACTCCACGTTACTATGGATCGGGGTGGGTAAAATCCGCGCGGTTACGTGGCGGGGCGGGTCGACCCACTCTTACATGTTATTTGGAAAAATACACCCAAGTTTTACTTTTTACGATAAAACGAGTGGGTAAAAATACTTTATGTATGAAAAATATTGATAATAGAATGGGTGAATAAGTCTAATAAGTTGAAAGATCGACTCTAACTAGTAGAAGAAAAGTCAAAGTAGGAGAAATATGTATAGATATTTTGAGAAATTAAGATAAAATGAGCTAAGAACGGGGCGGGATGGGGCCGAGGGAGTCGGAAGTAGATACCCATACCCCGCCCCACGCTACTGCGGGTTGGATAATACCCTCCCCATCACGATTCAAATCGAATAATACCCACGAAGCGGGTTCAAATTGCCATCACTAAATACAAACTAAGGAATTTGAGTATACAGGAAGTAAACATGCAAGGTTGAACAAGATACTAAAATTAAGAAGTAAAGTGGCTCCATTCTTCCAAGCCTCTGGGATATGCTGGAATATGAAACCATTCCTCGTTTACTCTGTGGATTTAAAAAATGAAGGTTTTACTAAAATTTGGATTTTGTAAAACCATGGATATATGAGAGTTTTGGGTTCATTATGAACTTGAAAAATAACATTGTTTGTTTCATAGATTTCATTATGGATTTGGTCAATAAGATTTGTATGAATAAAGTGAAATTGACATATATTGCCCTCGTTAGTATGATAATAGAAAGGAAATAAGAAGGGCAAATTGGTCATAAATGATGACTTAAAAGTCCATGATCAATTCCCACCTAAATTGACGGAACTTTCAAATTCGTGGACCCCATGAATTTGGACCCTTAAAGTTAGTGGGGCCCCATGGATTTGTTGCCTCAAAATACGTCAAGCAAACAATGAAATTTAGGGGTCGTTTGATTTTGGTGATAGTTTGGTTGCGATAATTACAATACATGCATTGTCCACAATGCATACTTTTTGTGAGATTGTTGATTTTTTGGTTGAGATTGTTGGGTTTTGTTTTTGTTCCAACTATGACCCTACTTTCTTATGTGTTTTGCTTTTTCATATTTAAAACAAAGGGTATAAGTGACATTTCAAGCAAAAAAGTAATATAACTTATTTAAAACTTTAATCACTTTCACAGAACCCAAACAATGTAAACTACAATACACCAATTTTCATATATACATGTATATTATTATGCATGTATTGATGACAATACATCAATTTAACTATCACCAAAACCAAACGACCCTCTGGATAAAGTCAATGATAAATTCAAATTCATTACCATTTACCAAATCCATCATCAAATAATAAAGTCAAAGTTGTATGGAATACTTCGATCAAGAAGCTCTGCAATACCTTGGCATAAGGTGTTGTGGTTACAACACTCACTACCTCAAAATACTCTGAGTACCTACTTAATTAGTTTTACTTGAACCAATCAGAAGTTGACAGAAACAAAGGAGTACACAAATGGAGCATGCATGCATGATCATCAACCATCAATGCGCCGAGGTTATGAGAGGAGGAGGTATCGACTCTCTTAATGATGGTTGTCAAGCCGGTAGTATGCGGGCCGGTTGAATCTAATTCTTTTTTTTTATAATGGCTAAATAATATTAATTTTAAAAAATAAATTTACAACAAACCAAAACAAGCCCAGCAACAAGCTGGAGAAGGAATCAACCCAAACAAACACAAAACCAAAACGCCCAGCCTTCCCAAAACAAAGAAGAATGAAGCATGAATACAAAGGATACTGTGAAACACACAACAGCAAGCAGCAAGAAGGATAAACTAATTGAGTCAATCACAAACAATTGCCAAGAAGGGTAGCAAGCAAAAAAGCCAACCAGAAGGTCTAAGACAACGCCTTGTTCTCATTTATCACATTAGACATAGGCCCTGGAAGCAAACGATTCCTAACTATCTGCATCCAACTTTCTCCTTTAGTCCTCCCAACTTTACTCGCAGCGAGCAACCAATTGAAGATCATACGACACACCTTGAAAAAAGCCACTCTGGTAACTTCTCCTTCCTCCCTGAAAATTCTTGCATTCCTCTTGAGCCATATGCACCAGCACGTCGCATGAAGGAGCACGTTTGTACACCAATCCTTGGGGCTGCCTGAAGTCTTCCAAGGCCAGGATCGAATTGAAGCGGATATGTCATTGGAGTTAAGAGTGAAATGAACGAAGTAGCTCAGCATCTTCCAAACTTCTTTAGTAAACCTGCAAGTAAGGAAAAGATGATCGACGGTTTCTTCACTAATTCTTCATAAAGCACACCGGCTTGGAAGGGCCCATCCTCTTCTTGTGAGAGCGTCGTGGGTAAGAATCTTTTTCTGATATGCAATCCACAAGAAGGTGCAAACTTTGTGAGAAATGATCGACTGCCATATGATATTGAAAGGAAAGTCCCCAGCACCCGGAAACCGCTCCTTGATCATCTCAGTATAAAAGGAATGAACTGTGAATCCAGCGGGAGAGGGATCCCACACCAACCTTGAAGGACCTGCAAGAAACATGTTATTTGGCAGACTATTAAGGTAGTTAAGGAGGTTTATGCGCTCACTCTCAGCCCCTCCTCTCAAGCTATGCTTAAGAGGAATTTCCCAGGTGATAGTCCCATCGTCCTCATGTAAAACATCAGTAATCCGGCAATTAGGCAATGCGGCAGCAGTAGAGACTCTCGAAAACTCATCTGCAAGCGACCCTTGGTCCAAACGTCATACCAGAAAGACGTCCCAGCACCTGACCCTGGATCGACAGTGGCAAATCTCCAAAAGTCCTTCTTTAATTTCAGAATTTGCGACCAAGGACTACAGCCTGCAACCCCTTTAAACTCGCCTGGCATCCAATCCGAACACACGTTAGAAAACTTTACATTGATAAGCTCCCTCCACCATGAGTCTCTGTCATGGGCGAAATCCCACAACCATTTACATAAGACAGCTTTGTTTTTGCTACGGGTATCGACAATGCCAAGGCCTCCCAATCTTTTCGAAATTTTACATCTATCCCACGCCACCAAATGTATCTTCGAGCTAGAATGCCCACCAAACAAGATAAATTCCCTTTGAATCCTTTCAATCTTCTCAATGACTGAACATTGAGCCGTGAAAAGGCTACACAGATAGAGCGGTTGACTGGCAAGCACCGTGTTGCAGAGAATAATTCTTCCTCCCAATGACAGATAATGCCCTCGCCAACCTTCGAGACGCAGCTGCATTTTATTGATCACAGGGTTCCAAACAGCAGACGACGAAGGGGAGGCTCCGAGTGGAAGGCCAAGATACACAGTAAGGAGAAATTTCCAATCACATCCGAGAATTTCAGCGTACCTCTAGATATTTTTAACTTCCCCAACTAGTAGTAGCATGCTCTTTTGGAAATTCGCTTTTAACCCGGTGATGCTTTGACAATGGATAAGAACAACCATTAGGTTGAACATGCTATCATCGGATGCCTCTCAAAAAAATACAATGTCGTCATCAACATACAGAAGGTGATTAACCTCGCCAACCCTCCTTGCTTCACCCCCCTCTGCATATCGAAATAGCCCGACACCTCCCCATTAACAAGCACAAAGAGTTTGGAAGAAGTAACCAGCCCCTTAATCCACTTATGCAGTCTTGCATTCATCCCAATATTCTTAAGAACCTTAAATAAACATTCCCAGCAAACCGAATCAAAAGCTTTCTCAATGTCGAGTTTGAAAATGAGTCCAGGTCGTCCACTTCTTCTTCTACTATCAATGAGTTCGTTGGCGATGAATCTAATTCAATTGGTGTCGGTTAAATCTGCTTCAATCGTTACACCTAGCACATGATCGGTATGATCAATTTACCAACTTAAAAAAAAATTATTATATGTTTTATGAATATGAAAATTAAAAGTTTATCTAATTTGTTGGATTCATATCTATACCTTTAGATATCGACGTTAAATATGGTTTTTTTTTGTGAGAAAATATGGTATATTTAAATGTGAGTATCTGTTATTTTATTTAGAATGTATTCTTTTATTAAGCCGACATGAACCGACACAAATCGGTTGTACCACTAATCATACCATTCTATTTGCTAAATCGGTGCAACGCCTCCAACTTTGTCCCCACCCCCTTTTCCGACGAATTTTTTACAACTTTCATAGTCATTCTTTCCATTAATTTGCTACCCTACTTTTTGGCCTTCCATTATAATATATTAAGAAGCTCTCTTCCGTCGTAAGTTTCTTGAAATCTTCTACTCAAAGCATTTCTCTCGTTCGTCTTCTTCGACTTTGGAGGTGGGTGATCGATTGGATCTTTGGAGGATAAGTTCACTTAGCAAAGGTAACGCGTTTTTTACGGGTTGGGTTCTCCTTCCTATTTATTGCTTCTGAAACAGTTTCAATTGGAATTTGAAAGTCCACCCCCACTGAATCAGTTTAACCCTTTATTGTTGACTGGGGGATGAAATCGTGCCACAAAAGGTGGAATCTTTACGAGGATTGTAAGTTAGGATTCAACTGGACATAATAAGAGGGACTCGTTGCAAAATACTTATATTTAGTTAACTATATTAAAGCATTCTGATCAATATAGGTAGAACGATCATTATTTACACAAATACACCATCACTAAAGAGATGTATTGTAATAACTCAATTCACGCCTCTGACGTGGGGAGCTGGCAATGGTGTTGGTGCACCCTCCCTATCCCAAAGCCTATCACTAAAGAGATGTATTTATGTAATAACTCGTTGCCAAAGCAACACCCTATATCCTTGACGACGAAAGACTTCGACAAGATGGTTAACAGCAGTGCTCCATTTGCTCGGAAATTCGCTAAGGATGATCCGGTTCTGGACAAGATTGACAAGGAACTCCTGGGGCGAACCGATCGGTTTGCTCCAGGAGCCTGGTGCGTCGGTGGGTCGGATAATGGGTCTGACCCGTGCTCTGTTGGTGGGGATCATTCGGTATTTAGTCCTGGTCCTGGGGCGAAAAGATTGCAGGAACTGCTTCGGACATTGCTGTCGGAAGATTTTCGGAAGCAGCAGTGGTCGTGAAAGGGTTAAAGCATTTTTAGCTCAAACTCCACGAAATGTACATTGATGATATATTGATAATAGGTTATACGGCGGACCCACGGGTGTTTAGGGGTGTCTCTGGACACCCCTAAATTTTGGGAAAACAATTATCCAACCCCCGGTAGTAATTTACGTATTGACAAAAAAATTATAATTGATAGTCGGGGACACCTTAAATTTAAAAAAGTGATTATCCTACTCTCATTTTTTAGTTTGAGTATGAGAATATAAGTCGTAGTTTGGGTAATTCAAACATAGGACACTTTTATTATTAATAAACATAATTTTCATTAGGCTACAACTCATATGTTATTCAATTTTAACACTGTGTAATAGTATAATATCATTCTCAATCTCTAATTATTTTCAAAATCTAACAATTAAACAAATTTCAAGCTACCCTTAATTTGTATTGATTTATGGTTGTACAACAAGTATTGAAAGAGTCTTTTCAGCTTTGGATTACATCAAAAACAAGTTTAGAAATTGAATATGTGATCAGTTCGTGAATGATTGTTTAATATGATATACAGAGACAATTTGTTTTTTAATAGTGTAGATCCCAAGTGTGTTCTACAATTATTTTTTAATATGAAAACACATTGTGAATTTTTTCAAACGGTATGAGTAAAGTATTTTTTATTTAAATATTTTTTATTAATTATTTTAGAATTATCTGTATTTAATTTATTTTTTAAAAGAGGACACCCCTATGTAAAATTTCTGGATCAGCCACGGTGGCTGATGTTAAGAGGCAGAGTGTTCAATTTTTCCCCTGATCCGACCTCTCTGTCAATGCAAACTCTACATCTGGGAAATGAAAAATGCTGACAAAGTGGTTTTGGTTTCCACTTTTTCATTTACAAAATTACAGCCTTCACATTTAGTGGTTAAGATATATTATTACATTTGAGACGTTCAAAGCCTAACCAGTCGCATCAATCCCTGTTCCCAGAAATCAAATTGGTGTACTTCTCAACAATCATCTCAGGTGAAAAATCAGTGAAGTATCCCTTCTCCACATCAAACCCTTGCTCCGCCGCAAGCATTTCAACCCGGTTCTGAACCTGGTCCGCTCCGATCTGGTTGGGCTCCAGCAGCATGCAGGCGATCTCGGTCGAATCCTCGCCGTGAACCAGGCCCAACGTCTGCACCGTAGGCAGCCCACCGCCACGAGCGCTCACCATCCGGGCGATCTTCCGAGCAGCAGACACGTCGGTGCTCACGATCGGAATGTTGTACAACCCGACCCACTGCCTGGCTCCGATCATCGCGATGCCTCGGGTTCGAGACACGTGGGCCGGGCCTTCGTCGGGATTCTCCGATAGAGTTTCGGGCATCGTCCAGCCGGCCCATTGGCTGCCTGTGAAATTGGGCCTGTAGTAGCCCAGCTCCCTCCTTATGGTATCCAAGGCTTTCCCCGTTGGATGTGCAGCACCAAACAGAAACACAGGCACTGCACAGAAAAAGAAACCCTAGATGAAAACCGAAAGCAACACTGTCAATAAATCAAGGTTCTTCGATTGGAGCTACTGACCCTGAAATCGGGCGGCGATGTCGGCGGCGAGACCCTTGGAAAGGCAAGCGGCTTCATCGAGCGAGGCTCGACCCAAGGGATGGAAAACGATCTCGTCCACCACGCCAAGCCGAGGGTGGGTACCGGAATGCTGCTCGAGGTTTATCGCCGCGTAGGCGGCCTCCGCCATCGCCACCACCGTCTGCCGCAGGGGGCTGTAAATGGCGGTTCCGGTGCTGTCGAGCGCCACGACGTAGGAGACCAGAGTGTATCGGATTCTGTTGTAAGCACGATCAGGGAACTTGTTGACGATCACCGTTTCTGGGTCCCGCCTCGCCGCCGTTTCGATGGCGTCCAGGATCGCCGAGTTTCGCGACTCTGAGATGAAGAGCTTGCAGCAGAGCAGCGCCGAGTGATTCCCCGCCCCCTTTTTGTTGATCTAGGACAAGGAAAAGAAAAACCCAGCTCAGTATTTGATATTTCCAAATTAGCATCATTACAGATCATCATCGATCCTCGTCAGTTGAAGGATAAGGAGAGATCGATGGGTGGGGGAATCTATGGAACCAACCAGAATTGAGGAGGGAAATCTTATCCTATTATCACAATACTAGGAATGGTTTTATTTATGTTTAGCACGGGATTCATATGTTTACATGGACAGACAGATGTGTGGCAATGGATAACACCGGAAACTGCATTTGCTAAGTCGGTTCATGTCAACTATCAAGTGGTGGAAGATTTCGTCCTACACGGTTATGATCATGAACTTTTAGGGTTCATAACTTGCAGCAGCTCAAGATGATTCGATGACTGTTAGCTAAAGCGTGATCACTCCTTGGAAGAGCAGAACAGGAAGAAAGAAAATTTAATGAAGCAAAGCTGCAAAAGGGATACAAGAAAGCAAGAAATGATCGCAAGCATGCAGTAGTATCAAACAAGTCCAGGAAACATAGAAATCGTTACCTTGGATCTTGGGCTAAGCTCCATTTCTAGCTATTCTTTCTTGTTCTTGATCTTCTTCCCACCTCTGAGCTCTGCTTCCTCTGTTTTTATGCTTTGGCTTCTTTGAAATACGATAGTCGTTTCTAGACTCTGCTCAAGTGGAAAGGCAAGAGAACTTATTACAAGAACAGCAGAAATTTATGAGAGAGATTATAATATATATAAGCCATTGTTGAAGAGGCAGGGGCAGGCCAAATGGAATCAGTCAGCATCGTACTGCATCGCATTCAAGCCACCTGTCCCCACGAGGAAACAGAAACAAACAAACCCAAATGAGAAAAAGTTAGGCTAAACCAAGAGCAGCATGCATGATTCACATAAACTGTAAGAAAGAAGCAAACCCAAAATAAAGAACATGGGGGAAATGCACATCATGGTATCACTTTTTAAACTATCAATTCTGTTGTGTATTTACTGAATTGCAGCAGAGCTCGTCATGTGCCCGTGAGCTTTGCTTTGTCACGGCAGTGGCGATTTGTCAGGTTTTGATGAATCGATTAGCGCTGTGGAGTTTTCTTGTTGGTCTCGACTACCGACTTGTCCCATTTCTGTACTCTGCAACCAAACAAAACCAGAAATAAAGGGCTCCCCGTCATATTCATAGAGCTGGGAAGTGCTACGAGTTAGGTACAGCTATGACTGTGCAGATGAAATCAGGAAAACTGACAAAACACTACTATTGCATCTGATATTTAGTTCATATACTTTTTAATATATCTTCTTAATTATAAAATTGACAACTAAACCTCAACAAATTGCATATATTTATTTTAATTCGGTCCAATCCACTCGTGATGGATTTCCTCCTCTGACTAAATTGTTGCCCACACTCTACTGCTATGATGACCCGAATTTGAGTAATTGTGCATGAAACACGAGATAAGGACTGAAAACTATTTTGTGGGATCTTTGAGATTGGATGGGCTCCAGAACCACTTCCAGCCAACAGATTCTTTTCAGGCTCTTATCCTAAGTTGTTAGATACACACCTGTAGAGCCAACAGGACACAGCCCACAGGAATATGTGCCCGTGACACATCAGCTGTACCCATCAAATGCATTTTCTTTCTCTTTTGATAATTGCAGATGCATTTTTGGTTGTTGTTCAATCTTATCAAATGATTAAATGTAGCTTTTGTTATCTGTGACAACTATATTGGATAATGTATTAAACTGATGGAAGTAACACAAATCCTTTCCCTTAATGGTGGTGGATTACAAGTGAGTTTCCCTCTTCAAATTTGCCCCAAGCAAGTTTCCCTCTTCTAAGAACAAAACATCAGTGCCCCAGTTTGTCGTTCTGGAAGACTGCTGCAAAAGCATTGGCAGAAAGTAAACTTCAGTCTCGAGTATCTTACAATTACAACAACTAGTAGAATGGAAATGTTGGAAAATGAATAACTTGACCAGCAACAGAGCAGCAAATCCTACAACGTGATGATGCAGATTGTACACTTCTCACATAGCCTGACCAGCAAGCTTCAAGTAACTCTCAACTATCTTCTCCTGCGAGAAATCAGTGTAATAACCTTTCCCTACACCAACTCCTTCTTCCACACCAAGCTGCTCGACTTCTTGCTGAACTCTGTCTCCTCCAACATTACTCGGCTCCAACAAGTTACAAGCAACCTCAATCACATTGTCCTCGTGAGCAAGTGCCATTGCCTGCACAGAAGCCAACCCGCCACCTCTCGTGCTTACCCTTTTCGCGATTCTTCGAATGGCAGCCATGTCGGTGGAGAAGACGGGGACATTGTAGTTATCAACCCACTTGGTTGCTCCGACGACAAGGACACCTTTTGCTTGATTCACTTCACAGGGTCCTTCGTCTGGTTTCAGAGGCAGGGTTTCTGATTCTGGACCTCCAACCCACTGGTTTCCAGAATTCGGCTTAAAGTAGCCTAATTCCCTCCTGATTGAATCTAGCTTCCTCCTTTCATTACTGGCAGCACCATACAGAAAAGTCGGCACTGCAGGCTAAATTTGACAGCATTAGCATTCAGCTGAAAGAAAAAACCCAGATCATGTTTCTTCCTTCACAGAAGAGTTTCAAAATGTCAAAGCTCAAACCTTCATACCGAAAAAAGGAGCCAAACCTTTGAGTTGAGAACCAACATCGGCTGCCAAGGACTTAGCAACCCAGGCTGCCTGTTCCAGAGATGCCTGAGCAAGTGGATGGAAACAGATATGGTCCACAACACCAAGTCTAGGGTGAGACCCAGCATGATGCTCGAGGTCAATTGCTTCAAACGCAGCCTTAACCATGGCGAACACTGAACTCTTCAATGGACTATTATCTGCAGGTGACGGGTTTGGATCCAAACTTGCAACAAGTGTGTATCCAACTCTGTTGTAGGTCACATCTTCAAACTTGTTGATGATTTGTGCTTCGGGGAACAACTTTGCTGCTCTTTCAATCAAATCCAATGCTGCCTTGTTTCGGCTCTCAGATATGTACACTTTGCAGCAACCAAGCCCCTGCTTTAGCATTTTTTTAACTTCCACCACCTTGCAAACTACTACAAGCTGAAAACAACAGATAAGGTGAATGAGATAAGATGATATAAAGATTTATGTGGCTGCCATGCAACCACACAGCCTGATAAAAGCAAAAAAATCCAAAAGAATTATCATGGAGATGTTAAAGGAGTCATACATTTTCTCTGTTTCGTTCGAGGCTATGAAACCTAAAGACAACAAAACCGTTCCAGTTTCATGGTTTTGTTTGTGACTAGTATAATCCCTTTACGCAGTTGTAAGATAGTTAAGATTTAATCTCATTCAGTCCCATGGCGAAGAAAATATAAGGAAATAGATAAACATTTGTACCAGCAAGCCATTCATTGATTCAACTCGAAATATAATACCATAAGAAGAGGGAGACAGCAAAGCCCCAGTGTACAATGCTGGACATCCAGCGCATTACCTCACAGTAAAACATGGCTAATGATTAATGAGGTAACAAAGGATGGGAGGTAGAGACAAACAAAAGGGATCAGGATATCCCTAAGAACGTACTACTTCAAAACTCCATTTCTCGAGGCTTCGGATAACCATCATACTCTAATTTCACTCCCAGGCCTGCTCTTATGACCCGGAACTTCAGCCTTAGACTATCCGTTATCACTTGAATGCGCTCATCCTCAGGATCCAAAAGCGGGTATTTGTCGATCAGTTCCTCCATTTGCTTTATAGAATTCTGGATTCGGGTCGAGAAATGTGTCGGAGCTACCTTCATTGCCGAGTTCCAGAGATCGATGCAACCACGATAGAATCCGAGCTCTTCTCCAATCTCAAAGCCCGTTTTCAAGCCGACTTGTTTGGCATCTTCTTTGCCAGCAACCAGGCCATCTTTGTACCCTTCATCATAGCCTTCTTTATAATGTGTCTCCTCTAGATTCAACGAGGAATCAAATATGTCTCCAGATTGAGATTGTGACTCCATATGGTTCGTGTTTCTTTCCCCAAATCGGTTTCTAGTTTCACCAACCTCAAATTGCAGAACCTTCTCTTTGCCTCCTGCGTCTTATGATAGGGATCTAAAGATACAGAAAATCACGAGACAAGGCAACAAGCTCAAGGTTCGACGAGTCAAACATAAATGTCTTAGCATACCACGAAAATGTTCTTAATTCCCCACGTTCATAGGCAACACATGTAATTATAGTGGATCAAACAATGAACAAGAATCAAGATGCATATCAAGGTCAAAATTTCTATTAGCTTAGCACAAAGGTTAATGTGTCATAAGCTTAGATCAAGTCCTTTGGGCTCTCGAACTGAGGGAATGGAAATAAATTCGGCCGAAAACCCATGTGAGCATCACAATTACGTTCCTATAGGATTGGAAATCTTGTAAACTAACATCTCAACCCCGCAATCAGTACTTGGCATGAATACATACACGCACAAACAAAAACAAACGCAGATACCAAACAACAGACGTTCGTGCAATTGAATCCGTAGTATCCAAAATCCAACTAGAAAGCCGCTACTACAGAATTTCCATCTCCACCCAAACAGAGAGGAACAGTTACTCCTGGTCTTAACAACCGAGAGAACAGCGAAGCTAAGTACAACCCACGAACTCAAATCGAGCGAATCTCCCAACCCAGCAAAGGAGTAAATGGACTAACTCAACAGAGAGAGGGGGAAAGGCATACAGCAGAAAAGTACGCAGTAGATTAACACAAAAGTCGCGGCCATTTAGAGCAATCTACAATTCAGCCACTCAGATATTCTGTAGAAACCATATATACGCAATACAGAAACAGGATGAAGGGTAAATACCTGCCGGAAGAAGCAGCAGAGAGGTCGAGCAGTTTCTCTAGGATAGCTGCAGCAGTGGATGCCGGATGGGCGGCGATAAGTACGAAACGGATGGATTTCTGGGCCTTCCGAGCCGCGTTCCAAAGGTGAATCGCCCGCAAAAGCCGAGGAGAGGAGAAGTAGAAGAAGAAAAGAAGCAAGGCAGGCGGCCAAGGGTGAGGGCGATGAGGGATCCTCTCCAATTCCGTCTAGGACAATGGAATAGATAAAAATCCTTAATCTTACTAGCTTTTCACCCTATCAATTTTTTTATATTAACTAGGACTAATTTCACTGCAATGCTCAAATATTAAACTAGATTCAGACCCGGCCTTGGCCGGATGCACTTTGTAAATAGTATAATTGATAGGATAAAAGTGTAATGCTTCAATTCCTATCTTGTAATAAACCGGATGTTCGGGTATCGTTTTTCAGGGAATGGTACAATCTTATATTATATCAATTTTATAGAGCAAACTACAAGGGAAAATGGTTTGAGAGATGAACTATTATCTAAAAGCAAATCAAAATAAACTAATTAAGCAAAGTAAAGTTGTCGGGAAACAAAGACCTCCACGCGGATTGTTACAACTGGAAAGGGAAAAAAAACCCCTTTCTCTCCATCGTGGAGAGTGGGCAAGAAACCGTCGCCGTAGTGCGCATCGCCGTACCCGGCCATCCCTGCATCGTGCTCCGCCGGCAACGGGGAGGGGAACGATGGGGGCTATAAATCCCTCTTGGTGGGCAAAGCGTTTCCCATCGCTGATTCGAGCATCCGTAATCAATTGCTTGCGAAGCCCGGGAAGCTACCCGCTATCTTTATCAATTCAAGTCGAAATGGCAGGCGTGAATGCAGTTATCTTTGGTGATGCCGACGTCGTTGCTGGCGTCGAACTGAATGAGTTGTCTTTGCTGGGTAGGATTGTTGGCCCCGCCCCTCCGACTCGACATCTGCAAGCGACGATGGGGAGAGTGTGGCAATGCCGCGGTGCTATTTCGGTACTCCCGGCGGCAGCAGGGCTCCTTCAATTTGTGTTTCCGACAAAGGATGACATGGACAGGGTCTGCAAGCTATCGCCATGGTTCCTCCCCAAATTTCTGGTTAATCTCGCCCCCCTGGGTGGAGGTTACGGAGACGGTTGCAGATCAACTCTGGCGGATTCCCCTAGATCTGCAATTCTGGGGCATCCCCCCCCCCCAGTGCTGTACTCGGAAAATGGCATCTCTTCTTGGCTCGGCTCTGGGGAAGAGTGACTCGGCCGCGGTGCATCGGATCCCTGGGTCTGGTGAACTCTTCCTCCGCGCGAGGGTCTGGGTTGACGGCCGCCTCCCGCTGTCGGTCTCGGTGCCTGCATCCCACGACAAGGGAGGCATAGGCTCGTTCACAGCGACAGTCACCTACAAGTGTCTGTCCCAGTTCTGCTATCTGTGTGGGATCTTGGGCCACGTTGGGCAGCAATGCCCTCGACGCGAGGAGCTAGCAGACACGGTGACGCCTTATGGCCAACACCTGGTTGCGACCAAGTCAGGGCCGAAGGTGAATGAACTCTCCCTGTTATCCCGGAAGCAATTCACCTGGGTTAGACAGGGTGCTGCTGGGGCTGGTGTACCTTTGAATGCTGCTCGGTAGGGTCAATTGCTGATCGAAGCGGACGGTGGTCGGCCGAAGGCCAATGCTACTGGAGTGTCTGGCCTGGTCCCGAGTGCTAGGGATTCATTCAGTGGAGAGGGCTTGAAGACATCGCCTGCAACCCCACTGATCAGGAACAAGGAGCTGCTGACTGAGCCTGAAATTTCGGCTATGACAAAGAAGGCTCGTACCGATCCATTGAACTCTTCGATCAACAATGTAGACTGTGATGTGGTGGTGGCAACCAGCCCGGACTGGTCCCACCCGGCGCCATGAGTATCATTGCCTGGAACTGTCGGGGGCTTGGCTCACCCTTGACGGTGCCCGCGTTGTTTGGAGCTGTGTGTAGGTTTTCTCCGTCAGTTATTTTCCTTAGTGAAACCAAGCATGACAATGACTATGTCCATAAGAAGCTCGTGCGTTTGGGGTTCCAGGCAATCCATTGTGTCCCCCCTGTTGGCTTAGCAGGTGGATTAGTAGTAGCTAGTGTTCCTAGTGTCCTGTGTAGAGTTCTAGGTTAGGCTGAGTTCTTCTTGTTTGTTGAACTGTAGCATATGGTTTGGGGTATGGTAGCAGTATTATTTGTTCATCTCAGTAGTGATGTAAATATCCGTAATGACCAGTTTAATGAACTTCTCCTTTTGCTTTCGACTTGTGCCCTTCCCAAAGTAGTCCTAGGTGATTTTAATTGCCTCCTCCATGCAGATGAGAAGATGGGAGGCAGACCTCCTTCATTTCAGGTTATGGAATCATTTCGTGCCTTTACTGATAATGCAGGATTGTTTGACTTGGGATTCAAAGGACCACCATACACATGGTCTAATCGGCAAGGCCTTTCCACCCACATATTAGAGCGACTGGATAGAGCTTTAGTCACTGACAATCTTTTGTCTCTGTGGCCTCTAATGCAGCTTACTCATCTTTCAGATCTTGGGTCCGATCACAGGATCATCTTGCTGCAGCTAATTCCGGGAGCAGGGAAAGGGAAGCCGAGGTTTCATTTTGATCGCAGATGGTGTCAAAATAATGATGCACATGCCATTGTCTTGGGTGAGTGGCAGGTTTCAATGCAGGGAACACCTCAATTTCAGTTGTTCTCGCTTTGCAAGGCAGTGAGGCATCAGCTAGTGGAATGGGCACGTATGGGCACTACAAACTCGGCGAGGCAAATCAGGGAGCTGCGATCCGCCATAGAATCAGAACGTGATTCATTTCCAGTGAATTGGGAAGTGATCCAGGTACTTGAAACTCAACTGGCAGCCGCGTACTTACAAGAAGAGGCTTATTGGAAGCAAAAATCAAGAACCAATTGGTTGCAAGTTGGTGATGCTAACACGAACCACTTTCACCGTGTAACTACACAACGGCGGAGGCAGAATTTCATTGAAGCCCTTCAAGATGAAGCTGGTACCCGACACTATGATGAGGCTGCTAAAGGTAATATCTCTGTTGGGTTCTTTGAGAAGTTGTTCTCGTCTAATGGGATCCCCCCTATTTTCTTGGTGAATGCTTTGGGAATCCCCCGGAAGATTACTCATGCTCAGAATTCCTACCTGGCTGCTCCTATTACTCGTGAGGATATTAGAGCTGCAGCTTTCAGCATTGGAGCTGGACAAGCTCCGGGGTCGGACGGGCTAACCGGAGCTTTTTTTAAGTCATATTGGGATATTATTGGAGACTCCGTATGCAGGGAAGCTCTGTCATTCTTCCGGTCTGGCCGTTTGCTACAGAATTTCAATCATACCATTATCACTCTAATCCCGAAGGTGCCCAATGCGGAGCTGATGAAGCAAATGCGGCCGATTAGTCTATGTCAGGTGTTCTACAAGATACTATCCAAGATCCTCACAGCTAGGCTGAGTACTATCCTTCCCTCGGTGATCTCGGCTGCACAAAATGGCTTCGTCAAGGGGAGAGATATATCCGATAACGTCCTCATCGCCCAGGAAGTCATGCAATTTCTAAAAACGAAGGCTACTGGTCGGGATAAGTGGATGGCGCTCAAGCTGGATATGGAAAAGGCATACGAACGGGTTGAATGGGGTTTACTATTTGCAGTTATGGAGGCTTTGGGTTTCGGACCTCAATGGATTAAATGGATTAAATCGTGTGTTACTACAGTTTCTTTCACGGTGCTGCTCAATGGGAAAGAACATGGTTACTTCCGACCTCATCGGGGTATTCGGCAAGGCGATCCTCTTTCTCCTCTGCTGTTTGCTATTTATACAGAAGCTTTCTCTACTCTGCTCTTAATGCTCTTGATTTGCAGCAGTTACATGGTTTGAAGGTTCATCGCCTTGCACCTACCATCTCTCATCTATGCTTCGCCGATGACACCTATATATTCCTGCGTGCAACCTCAGTGGAATGTGAGAATTTGCTTCAGTTATTGCGCCCCTTTGAGGAGGCTAGTGGCCAGCGCATAAATCTTCCAAAGTCTTCAGTCTGTTTCAGTGCCAATGTTAGTGATCATGAGAAGAATATTCTGGCCAACATCCTTGGCATCTCATCCATTGGCCCCCTTGACAAGTACTTGGGACTTTTGGCTCAAATTCAGCGATCAAAAGTTCAAACCTTCCAGTTTGTTGAAGAGAACCTTGCTGTCCGCATTCAAAGTTGGCGTTCCAAATCGCTTTCCCTTGCTGCGAAGGAAGTCTTGCTCAAGGCCGTTGGGTCAGCCTTGCCGGTTTATACTATGTTCTCCTTTCGTCTGCCGTCCACTTCTTGTTGCAGGTTAAATAGTCAGCTTGCTCGATTCTGGTGGGCTGGTCAAGACAAGGAGAGGGGCATGCACTGGATCTCATGGGCGGCAATTTGTGTCAGTAAATTCCATGGCGGCCTTGGCTTTCGGGATTTTGATCTTTTTAATGTTGCAATGCTCGGTAAAAAAGCTTGGAAGGTTCTTCAGTGCCCAGAGTCTCTTCTTGCGAGAGTGTATAAAGCGCGATATCACCCTCACTGTGACTTCTTGTCTGCGCCAGCTGGGTCACGTCCGTCCTGGGCTTGGCAAGGTGTTCTGGAAGGGCGTGAGTTGTTGAAACGTGGGCTGCGGTGGCAAGTAGGCTGTGGATCGGCAATCCGCACCCTAGAAGATATCTGGTTACCTTCGACTCCTCCATCGGCCCCGTCCCTGCTTCCCGGCATCTCGCTGCCTAGTCCGTTTGTGGCTGGCCTCATTCATCCGCTCACTAGAACTTGGAATTTAGACTTAATCCGGACGTCCTTTACTCCTGAGAGTGTGTCATGGATCCTCTCCATTCCAATTCCAGCGGCGCCCCAACCGGACAAGCTTATTTGGCATTACGATTATTCTGGTCAATATACTGTTAAAACAGGTTATCAGCTGCAAGTATCCAGCAGGCAACTTCAGTACGATCAGCTTCCTCCTCACCTCAACACGCAATTCTGGAAAATGCTTTGGAGTCTGCCGATCCCCCCCGAAACTCAAGTTTTTCCTTTGGCGGGTGGTCAGAGGATTCCTCCCAATGCAGTCAATTCTTAAAGGGAAGCACCTCTGTGATTCTGATTCTTGTCTAGTCTGCTCAAATGGTGCGGAAACCATATCTCATTGTTTCTTTGAATGCAGGATTAGTCGAGCCATTTGGGCTCT